GTGCAAGTTTGAGATTCAAATCCAGTTTGGGTCAGAACTATTCTTCTCGTCTTTCTGTCTATATTTCCTCTTAGTTCGGTGTCCTGGGGGGTGGGGGGGGGGATATTAAAGTGCGGATTATTAAAAAGGAAATGGTACCAGACTTCATAAAATGATAAAACAGACGGTTCTGATTTGCAATAAGTTTAGTACGCTTCCATAAAAATCATTATGAACACAGTGCTGTGGATAATTTGCCTAGTTGGTACCTTCAAGTTATAAAGTTTCATCTGACATTTTTGGCCATACTGAGTTACTAAGACCATCAGGTTAGAAACCAAATGTTCTATCTGTTCTTTCAAAATCGTAACATTATTCGGATTTGTTATCCAGATATTCAAAGAATTGCGTTTAAAAAAAGATCAACATGTTGTGAGACTCAAAATTCTTAGCATCAAATTTCTCAAAAGTAGGCACCTAACAGATAGGATTTTGTAATTCAGGGGTAGCGTAGTGTAACACTATAGAACAAAAGATACAGATAACGTCATAAAATTATGACATAATTGACTTTTACTTTTCAAGTTCTAAAACAAGGGTTTAAATACCCCTTAAGATAGTTATCTCCCATCCCTCTTAACTTGGCCTGAAAATGGGAGCCCTGAACGAGGACAAATATTTCAGTTAACACTGATAAATTCTATGTCAAAATATTATGATTCATGGATTTATTTATCAGGGAAGGATTTGCTGTCTACTTGTGTATGCCTGATAGGGACCATCATGTCAATAAATGTGTGTGTATATATTTATACGAGACAGTCCAATCTTCCCTGTCACAAACGGGAAAGATGATAAATATAACTGTCGTATTTGAGGGTTGATCGTAAGTTGACAGAAAAGAAACAACCGCTGGGTTTTCATAAAAATCGAAGTTCCAACGATGACTTCAAACATCGCGATGACCTTAAAAAGATCCTGTATGTTGGCATTCAAACGAATTTGTGTTCCGTACAGAATTAATTTTCTTGGATTTCCCCAAGAATTGTTTGTTCGTTGGGGAGGGGGGGAGGGTTATTCTCTTCAACACGTTGTTTCCTCAGTTTGGGTTACCGTTTTCCCGTCATTTTTGCTTTAAATGAGACATAATAATATTTTCATGATGCCTCTGAGATTCATCCTTCCCATCCCTACTATCACAATCTGTTTCAATATAAGCTCTCTGTCCGGACTACTGGGGTTGTTTCTTCATCGTCATCCTCTTTAAAATTATGAAAATCATCATGGCTGAAGGCCATGTTAACATGATTTTCATTCACAGCCAATTTTACTTGATTTTCATTCAACGCCATCTGTGCTTGACCTTCATCTAAGGTCATGTGCGCTTGACCTTCTTTCAAGGCCATCTGTGCTTGATCTTTTTCCAATTCCATCTGTGTTTGGCCTTCTTTTAAGTCTATCTGTGCTTGACCTTCTTTCAAGTCCATCTGCGCTTGACCTTCATCCAAGCCCACGTTCATCCCACCACAAGATTTAGTTGACCTTTCAAACGCCACGCCGTCGTTATGTTGACCCTCGACCTTCCCTAGCCTGTCCTTCGCCCTCGCCCGGTCATTGCGTTCCCCTGCCAGGATGCGCATGCCCCGGAAGACATCGTGGTCGTCTGCACGGCCTCCCTCCGGGACGTCTGGCAGAGCAAAGTACAGCTTCTCCCAGAACCAGGGGTCGCTGTACCTCAGGAAGCTCTTGGCTTTCATGTGAACCTGGAGGGAAGATAACCGTTGGTTTACTGAAGGTGGGTTTTTTTGTTTGTTTTTTGTTTATTATTTTTACTTTTGTTTTTGTTTTTAGAGGTTGTTTTTGTACATGTATTTATTTGTTTTTTGTTTGTTTGTTTGTTCGTTTGTTTGTTTTTTGTTTTGGTTTGGTTTTCAGATTCAGTAAGAGTTTTACTGCATTTGAAATCCAACTAGGTCATAAATGCCGAAAATTAGAAGTGTTGCTTGAGAGTAACCTTCAAAGAAAAGAAAGAGGAAAGATAAATGTCGACAGGTGTCAGATAGGGAAAATACTGAAAAATTGTTTCTTTTATATCCAACATCCCCCCCCCCCACACACACACACACACACACACACACACACACACACACACACACACACACACACACACACACACTCATATATATACACACACATACAACGCACTCACACATGGGTATGCGCACACCCATAAATACTTCTTCTCTTGCACTCATAATTGATACTTACATTCATGAACAGAACCACAGCCACGTGCGTGCCATATAAAAAAAAGTTAATTATCGTTAACAGTAAAAATGCTTAAGTGTCCTCTCACAGCGGTCTTCTCAAGGGGGCCAAGAGCTCCACTTCTGAAAAAGCTTACGTCATTTCTGTCTGTGAGTTCTATTCCAACAATGGCTCTCCTTTTTGAAAAGGTTTACACCATTTCTATAAGGGCGTTCTACTTCAACAATAGGACCAGCCTGTACGATGTCAAAATGAAAGATTCGATGCCTGTACTGCGACAATGAACAAGTCCTTCGGGGACTTTTTTGGCTATCACCGCAGGTGCCTTAATGTCGCTTACAACTGTGACAACTACTCCGCCTTCGAGATGATTTATCGTTGTTGATTTGTAACAGACGTTCAAATTGTACCCACAAAAAACAACACAACCCCAATACCCCCCCCCCAAAAAAAGAAGAAAAAATAGAGTGTTTATTACAATCACAGGGTACCTTTAAATCCGGATCCAGCATTTCTTCTGGTATGTCTTCCAGCAAAACAATAATCAAACGCTCGGCACCTTCTCGTAGAATATGCAAGTGAGCCATCTGAAACAGGAAGAAACAAAATTACCGTATTATTGTATGACAATATTCGAGATTTGTACTACCTAAATCAACAATTTAGGTCATTCAATTCAAGGGAAGGAATTTCTAGTTTGGATTATATAAAATAGAATGGAGTGATTCTTTTCATCGAACATTCTCCAAATGGCGTGTTTGTTGAACCCCAAAGGCCTGATAGGCTCTGTAGTCCACTGACCTGTCGCCAACTTGTTTGTTTGTTTGTTTGAGTAAAGAGAAGCACATCAACACAATAAAGGTCATTTACTGGTGGGGGAAAGTACGATGAAATGACAGAAACAACAAAGGAAAAGGAAAGAAGAAGGACCTACCAGTGGGTGCCCTCCAACCACCCACTTTGTCGCCAACAGAACGAAAAGTCTAGACAGGAGCGACAGAAATAGTAAGTCAACATTCACTGCGGTGTGCGTCAGTGTGCACGCTACACGTCATGTTCCCATAACCAGATGCACTGATCGCCGAGATACTGTTTGGGTTGTTTTTGGTGATATATACATCATAGATTTGTAACCATAGATGACGCACTGTCATGGCCGCCGCTCTCGGTTGGGCCTCACCATTACGCCCAAACGCAGGAGAAAACACCAGTCTCGCTCTTGTCGACAGCGAGCAGCACCAGGTCCAGTTCCAAAGGATTGAGTAGATGTTTTACGGCGCTATCGAACCAATTTTGGTCATTTAAGGGGAGTGCTGGCCAAAAGACATTTAAAGTTCAGCCCAATAGGCCTACGTCTTTTTAAAGTAATGTTTTAGAGGTTTAGTCACAAAACTGCAGAGTTGTCAAAATCGTTTTTTTAAAGGTCACCGGCGTCTTCGTGGACACACTCCAAGCTCATCCTGGCAACTGACAGGAAGATAATAATGTTATTCAGTATCTGCATCGTTCCGGTTTAGGTGTGGTATACAGTCGGCTACGGATGAGTTGATGTCGTTGGGGGATTTTTAAAAAAGACTAACTCATCCGAAGTTCAACTTAACGGTTGGGACCTGTACAGAAGAAGAGGTTCTGGAACTCGAGAATAAGATCAATTCAACCGAAGATTAACTCAAGCGAGTTCAACACAAGCGGAGTCAACTGTATTAGACAATACAAACTGCCCCTTACAAGTAGAGTCGAAGCTTTTTTTTTACGCCCCAATGAACACAATTTAGATCATTTAGTAGATGAGCTTCCAACCTTGCCAGTCAGGGCAAACTCAAGCTGAGACTGAGAGGGATACAGCATCCCAGCAGAAAGACCGAGACACCTGATAGACATTAACTCCCCATTCGGGAATCGAACTTGGCCTCCTGTGTACGTGCCACAGCGAAGCGCCTAACCCTAGGCCTTCCTAGGCCTAACCGTATCAACACAAACGCCATTTTGGGTCGAAGCCCCCACCCCCTTAAACGATCTAAACTGTGTCAACGGGGACATAAAGTATGAACAACATTTTTTGGACCAATTTTTGGCCAGTAGTTCGAAAATAACCCCTAACCTGGAATTCAAATCGGCACCACTCGCTCTCCAAAAAGTTCCGTGACAAGAGAAGGATGGTCCGGCTGCTCTTTCCGATGGCTGAACCGATGGTGTCGGTGATTTGAGCTCCAACCGGGAAGTCTCGATAATGCACGCAGACCCGGTAGCTGTAGAAAACAAAGACAGATGGCTGATTTTTTTGATTTTTTTTTAAGGGGGGGGG